AAATAGAATAATAAGAAAGAACATTACATTGTGTGTTGTGGGTGAATAAGTGGGAGGAAGAACAAAACAAACGCATATACACTCATCTGCAAACTAATTTGGTTCTTTCGAGAGACTCACCTGGAACCAAGCTGAATCTCTCGTTTATGATGTTCTCAGGCAACTGAATGTGCTGCACCAGGCCGCCTCATGTTTCAGTCGCTACGATATTTGAGATATCGCGATACATGTAGATGTGTAATGCACTACTCATAAGGTTGTTGAAAATCCATCGACAGCCAACCACCGGTTTCGCCCTTCTAGGGGCTCATCAGGTAGGCGCAGTCCCCGGGTTTCCGTCAACTTATGTTCTATTTGAAACCAAATCGCACGAAATTAGCGAATAAACACTCATCTGCAAACATACCACTTGATATGCGTGCACTGCAGATTGGTCCCGAAAACTGTATCCGGCGTAAGCTGTTCGAGAATAGGCTCAGCTCTCTTAATGAATAGGTAAGAGTCTATGGCCTTTCGAATGCACAAATGAGATAATATAGTAAGTGTATGAGGAGGGGCTTGTTCCGTAGTTTGGAACTACACCAGAAATCGGATCTTTTGATCCTTTTTCATTATTCAGCACGCATCACTCAAACTAAAAAGCAGGCATCCTTAATGGATGTTTTTCTAGTTTGCTTTTCCATCTGCCAATACTGGTTATTCTATTACAACTTACCGAAGTAACGAATATCCCTTACAATTTTCCGCGAGCAACTACCATCAACTTTTGATGGCAGGCGTAATCAAATTAGGATCAGTGTTTGAGGTCAGGAAGTTCAGGACCGTCGTCAAGCGGTTCACTGACCACACGCAAATCCTTCTGCTTCAACGCTCAGCTTATGCGGCTAACAACCCGTCGTCGGTAGTCAGGGATACTGCACCTCAAACCGGAGGGCGTTCTAGGGACAAAAACTTGTGCTTATGTGTACTTTGTGGCCGGCGGACCTTTAGCGGTGACCGCCGGCGTGCAACGGATTGCGATGGTCAACTTTTCCCTTTTTGAGGCTTCAGGCTTTACACAACAATCCTAGACTGTTTTTTCGGTAATGACATGCCTGATTTGAGATCAAGTCTTGTGCTTCTTCCGACCTTATAGTCAGATTACACCAAGCAACAAAAGTTTTCACAATACAAATTAGACGTTCAAGAAAGAGAAGCGTGAACAAGTCTCAACGAGAACGTCGCTGCTAAAGTATTCCCTATATGAAGCAACTCACGCAGCAGTTTATCAACAGCCAGCCTTATGGTGATATTTTGGTAAACTTACACCTTCCCCTCATTTTTGGATGTCAACAGCTCAGTGAACACTGTGCGCCAAGAGGATCATACGCTTACGGGTAGGACATGCGTACCAATAAAACGACCAATAACATCCAACTTTTTCTCCAGTGCAATTTGGACATTCTGCTTCTCACGGTAGACATGGATTGGCGCTTGTCTTCCAGCTGATTGGAGATAGTGGAAACCTATCCGCATGGTATTGGTGTGTGTCAGCTAGTTTCCTTCTGCCTCCACTATGATCGGCGTAAGTTTCGTTCAGCTGGTTCTTCAGGTGTCTTGGACTCAATAGGCCCACACTGATATTGAGGGATGCATCAGAAGGCTTGGCCTGCGGCCGCAGGTCATTATCAGCCGATGGCTTACGTTCTTGATATCTAGTACAAATTTTTCGGATGTAATAGAAGAGTCTGCAGCATGATAACTTAAGTCGGCTAATAACGGGTTTCAGGGACACGTGAGACTTCTTTGGTCTGTTCTTCCGGTAGATGAATATTGTTCGACCACCCCCTGTGTTCCCAACCAACCTAACCCCTGCAACTGTCCTCCCTACAACAGCGCAACCAGTGAGTCTGTTTGTTCTCAGATTGCACCATATTTTTGAGACTAAACTTACCATGTTCTCGCAATTCGAATTATCCCATCTTCACCTCCACTTTATCTCGTTGTGACTCCGGCAATTTACCCAACCGCCCAAGGGCACCCATGGCCAGCAATGGTTTTCAGTTTCAGTTCGTCAGCCGCCTGAGGTCTTTGAATTAGTCGGACCTCATGCCTATTGTTCTCTACAAGTTGCGAAAGAGACCCATCATTATTATTTCATCAAATAATTCCCACTTTTTATAACATTGTCCTCTTTTCACGCAATCGTTACAACCCGCAGATCCTCCAATCATGCCCCATTTTAACTATAAACTCATGATCGTGCCCGAAGGCATGCCATCCACAAGTTGGGAACAAACATTATTATTGTTATTATTATTATTACTATTGCGAGAAAGCCTGTTAATCTGCTGTTCGTAAGAAATCTACTTTTAACCTCAAGTCGATGTATCTTATTATAATTATATACCTTATTTCCCATTCGACCTCAACTGTGACCTTGAGGATTTGACCTTTTTAAATAAGTAAGCCATACACTAAATTTGAGGGACACACCATTCGAAGTTCGTCTTCATGCGGTGGTAGCCTTGCGGACACCATCATATCCCATACATCTGTTCCTTTCAGCAAAGCATGTCAGTGCAATGATGGCATTCACCGCCATTACCAGGGTGATGGCACTCTCTCAGAATGTAGGCCGCCACCTTTCGCACACCCAAGTCTGTAAAATTAACCCGAGCAATTTTTTCACTTGGCCCTAACCGTCTCTGGAAGGAGTTCATTCTTACTCAATGATGCTTTCGTTCGGATTAGAACAACCTGCAATTTTGGTTGGTTTCTTCCTTAAGTTCAATTCCATATATAGTTTTCGTTTGAAAGTATGCATGAGCACCTTCTCCTCGTTGAACCTATCCTTTGCACTAAACCCCCCACAAAAGCGGTAATAATGAGTCTAATTAGTTTCACGTTAGACCATATTTTCTAGACAAAACTTACCATTTGCTTCTATTTCGAATTATTTCATCTCCGCCTCCATTTTGGCTTGCTGTGCTTCTTGCCATTTGCTCAAATGCACAAGGTCATTTATGACCGGCGATGGTTCACGCTTTCAGTTCTTCCATGTCAGCCAGCTTCATCTTTGAACTAGTCAGACCTCTTGCTCACTGTCTTAGTTTTGGCTCCAGCCAAGGGCGATGACTTTTCGAAATAAGCTTGCCTTATTTGTTGTACCCCCATCCCCACCGCACTCATGTTGTAACGACCCCATCATGCCTCGCTCAGCATGTTCCTTAGAACTTGGTAAATGAAACTATGATTATTTTTCATCGGATTTTGTCTACAGTTTATGACATGGTCTTCTATTTTGGGCTATTTCTGTTGGCCGCAAATTCCCCAGTTATGCTTGTTTCTGACTGCGAACGTCTGATCGTGCCTGACGGTGTGCCACCCATAAGTTGGAAATAAGCATTATTATTAACATCGGTATACTTCATTCATCACTATATTCGTATGTTTCCCCCTGCACTCCTCAACGCACGCTTCGTGGTCATAAACGGGCTCTTTGTGTGTCTTGCAGGAGCACAGCTAAATGCATTGTCTTGACAATTCTGACGCACTCCGACAAAGACCAGTCTTTTCTAAGCACGTCCGTATTTTTAGAGTAACCCTAAACCGATCAACCTTTGGATTATTCAGCTAAATTTTGAAATCAGTCCTTGTTGCCAGGCTGCTTGAAGTTTTCGGCACTGCCCACCCAAACCTTCATGACCCTATTTCAACTCTCCACATAGTTACGTGAACGCCGTCCCCTTTTGTATGTGGGATAATTCTGTGTTCACAGCGGTACACGTCTTTTTTCCTGTTGACGGTATTTCGCCCACCTCGCAAAAGGCCTTATTTCTTTTACGGTCATGCAGAACAAGCGCTCCATTGAATCCAAGCCACAATCTCTTTAACCGCACGAAAACCCTAACTCACAGTGCATTTCTTAACCGGAAGAGCTAGAATAACCTCATTCTGATTTTCGATTTCCTTCTGGCTGGATTAATCACGTGAGGATTCCTACTCCCCCAGTCAGTTTTATCAGGGGCATTTGCCCCTTCTACACTTGCACCAATCTGTGCAGAATAACTCCAGCCTAACTCTTGTACTATAACACAATACGCGGGGGACGCAAGGGAATGGCGATAGTGTCCCGATACATAAAGCAGTGGGCATCCCCGATGGGGGAATAAAGGAACGAAACTTAGATGCACGCATGTATTCTGCGCTAATATATGGAGAGAACTGCCCAATTCTGATCCTCAAACAGAAAAACGAAAGATGCATTCTTTCAAGGCTAGAGGTTTTGTATTCGTGTGTTTAGGACTTACAGGAAATGGTTAATCGTATCAGCAGCCGAAAAATGAAAGCGCGCATCTTGAAGCATATTCCAATCCGGTTTAGCTTTGTTAGTCGTGGTTTTGCGGGAATCACAAGAACGCCACGTATTTGATATAGCGTATCCAATTTTTGGTTGCGACACAGTAACTTTTGAGAAGCTGTATGGGCGATGGGTTATTTCTCCTCAGCGGTGAGCCAGATTGCCTTAGAAACAGGTCAGGGAATATATACCATAAAAAGTATTACTTGAGACTACGGTTTCAAGCATCCAAGAAATTCTTCAAGATCCACTGGTTGCCGCTAAATAAATGGCATGGTTGTTTCGACCTGTCACCGGTGGGGCGTTGAGGCACCTGGCCAGCTCTTTGCAAGTTTCACCGTACCCAGAGCTTGACATGTGAGGTTTTCTGTCAGGTACCCGCCAGAATAGGCTAAGAAGCACTTCAATCACCCCAGAAGAGTCAGCAGAAGCATAACGTAGATGGCAGACGAATACACCTGATAGCGCAAAGATGATTAAAATGTTGTCAACAGTTTCGGATTGCTAACACGGCTGCACTCAACACCACCGTTGTTGAGGAGAGCCCATTTCGTCTTATGATCCACAGAGGGTGTATATTTAGTGGATCCAAAAGGAAAGTTGGCAAATACAAATCCGACGCACTACTCAGGCACTAACTTACATGTATTTAAGGTCTTTAGTACTTTAAATGTTGAGATGAATTCTGTGCATGAACACGTATACCCAGTTTGCATTCAAAACGTTGAAAACTGCGTCCGGTCCCAGACCAGCTGCTCACGTCGTTTAGTAGACCGAAGTACAAAATAAAAACGCCTGCAACCCCAAAGACCTGTATTTTAAGAACGTCCCCATGTAACGGAGAATCGTACAGGATCAACATGCGGTAAACATTTGCCATCCGAAAAAATCTGCAAAAAAAACAACAGGAGACGTGATGATCCTTCAAAGGTAAGGTTGCGAGGCGGATTACAGGAATTCCGTTTATTCGTCCTATCAAGACCAACAACTAATGATGCATAGCCTGACACACTCAGTCAGCTCGTATTTGTGAAACGCACACACACTTTCGAATCATTCAAGCAAAAACAACCTAATGCCAAGTGTGCCGTGAGAGGCACGGTAAGTATGATCACATGAGGGTTTAGGAAGCCTGTTCGATGTCACTTCGTAGATAACTGTGATGCTTGAAAGACGGGCTCATTAAGTTCAAATAAAACACAGCTTATCGGGGAGCAACCCACTTCAGCAGTGAGTGTTGCTTTGTATTGATGGGAGCAAAATCAAATTTTCAAAGCAAGGCTGAAAAACCGAGGGCCAAGAGGATTTTATTAACAAGGGTTTGACCACACATTTTCAAGGATTAAAAACATGACGTCCAAACTTACTTAGGAGTCTGGAATATCCTCATGCAATTAAAATGTGCGCGTATTTGGCGCCTGGATCCATATCATCGTGGAGGCATTTGTGATTTTTAGTAAATGTAGGAACTGTATGGAAACCTGTCACGCCAGCTTTGCCTTCGAAAAGGATACTTTTTTCGTCCCTCAAAGTTATTGTAGTTCCACGTTCCTACAGAACTCATCGTATTTAGACGCACGAATCTGCTTCATTCCCGGATGAAATTCAAGCACGGTCCTACATCGTTCGGGTAGTGGGACTCGCAATCAAGCATGGGGGTTGAACTAATAAATTTTAAGCCTGCCAGGCTGTAATCGTTTGTGTTTATCGTCAGCAATGCGGCATCATTTGGGAGACTTGAACATATCACAGTCATGCACTGAAACGTGATTGCCTGGGCCGAAAATTTCGTGGGGCGCTCCAAATTGGTGCCGAATAGAGCATTCTGAAGGCATCAAGTGAAGTTAGAATATTGTGTTTTTAATATCTATATGAATATAGTTAAATAAAACTGGGACCTACGCAAGCCCCCTTAACCAAACAGCACCCAAAATATTTAAACGTCCTCAGAAGAACGAGGCTAGGTTTCAGCTGTAAAGCCAGCCCCCGTTCGATGCCAAAATTCTGTTGTACTGTGCGACGCTTGCTACGGAAACTGTGGCGTGTGATGGTGCCAGTGGGAATGGGCCACATGTTGTTAGGTATCCAAGCGAACGTCAGTTTAGTGGCCGACGTCTTTCGTGCGTTCTGTGCGACGCTACGGAAACTGTGGCGTGTGATGGTGCCAGTGGGAATGGGCCACATGTTGTTAGGTATCCAAGCGAACGTCAGTTTAGTTAGTGGCGTCTTTCGTGCGTTCTGAGTAGACAACTTGGTTGGCGTACTCCAGGAGCGGTCTGACGTAGGCCCCATAGAGTATTTGGAAGTCCATGCGAGTAATACGGGAGAAGGTGCATCGGATCATCCGTAAAATGGCGAATGTCTTTTGGGCCGATTCCCCATTGTGCAGTGAGAAGGACAAGTTTGAGGAGACCCAGATGCCCAAATCCTTTTTGGCACCCATCCTCATGATGTTTTCTGGTCACTTTTCACCATGCATAACAAAGGCATTCGCTGAATCCCCTCCAAACGACATATGGACGCACTTTTCATCACTCAGAGGAGGGTGCCAGTCCAACGACCACTGCTTGGCAGCGTCTACATCCATTTGGGGGGCACTGGCATTGGAACTCCAGGATTTCAAGTCGTCCGCAAAAAGTAGACATGGACTTGCAGGAACATCTGGGGGGTGTTTGACGTAGATCAGATACAGGAGTGGTCCCAGGACGGCGCCTTGAAGAACTCCAATGGAGGCCGGCGCTGGAGAAGAGTAGGTCTTATACCGGTTGGGTACAAGTGAAGGAACGTAATGGAGCATGTCTAACTTTACGATAAGATAGGGATGCAGAGCCTACCATTGCTAATTAGTAGTCTCCGGCTTCCCAGATTAGCGTAGACCCGTTGAACCTACTGGCCTGATGGTCAATTGAACCTAACGAGGAATTACTGAGAGCGGTACGTTCGAAATCGGTTTCGTTTTTCCCTCGTGCAAATTCGTGAAAATGTTTTTCGTTGTTCAATGTATTTGCAGAGTACACACGAATTTTATTACTCTAACAAAACATTTGAGTGATAACCCTTTATATTTTGCATTTTACATCTTACATTTTACATCTAGTCCGAAACATGACGTCAATTCATACCGATCGCCCTCCGCATCCATTGGTAGACCACAATAGATGTGGGCGGAATGGCTGCCCGTCGAACGTCAAACGCGGCATGCAATGCCACGCCTGCAAGGCCTGGTGGCATTTCAAATGCACGGGTTTACAGGACGACCAAATAAGCCGACTAGCCAACTCTCCTGACCCGTTTGTCTGTGCCAGCTGCCTCTATGTCAAGGGTGCAATGCATACCGCAGCGAAGAGAAGAGTCCCCCGAAACGGTACCCAATCCCCAGTGCAGATGCCGAAAGACCACTGCCAGTGTTCCGCTTTAATCGGGATACTCGACGCGAAATTAGAGCGTCTTTCGAAGGCACTGGAGGACTCAGGCGCTAAGAATGCAGCGACCTGGGCGAAAGTCGACAAGGAACTTTCCTCGCTGAACCAATACCTCGCGATGTCCATACCGGGTCCCATGGCTGCGAAGAAAGTCATACAACTTTCTGACGCAGCTATAAAAACCGCCACAGCGTCTCTAGTGGACAGACGCCTAAGGGAAAACAGGCTGATAATCTGGGGATCGTTCTCCGGAAAAATCACGCCAGCGAAGCTGGCACAGTCGATCCTCAGCAAGCCTGATCAATCACTCCACGCAGAATGGCTACGCCAAGAGGGAAGTAAGCGAACCCTTGGACTTCTAGTTACTCTTTCTTCCCCGCCCGACGTACAGGCAATCTTGGAGCGGGCTGGCAGCATTCAAAAGGCCAACCCAATGATCAGGCGCCTATCTGAGAATCGTCCTCTAGACGCGCGCAAGCTTGGTCACAACAGGTCAGGAGTGGAAGCACGAAACAGGCTTCCACGGGCACTAAACCAGACGACCCCAAACTCATGACCAAGCCGATTGTGGTCATATCCCCCCTGTGCTCCCGAAAGCAGGCCGATGAAACCAGCGGTTCTCCGGACAGCAGTTTTTATTCGACCACCACAGGCCTCTCGCCCACCAAAGGCAGGGAC